CAGGTATCAGACTAATATCAAAGCACAATACATCTATTAATCACCTACATTAAACCATTAAAAATATGGAAGGCTTAGCATTAATACTCCGTGACATGCTGTAGAGCCAAATTTAATTTCTGATTTGTCTCTGTCTCATTATTATACTGTCTTTCTACTCAACAGCAGGATTTCTAGATGCTATAGGAGCCACACTGATAAAATCATAGGACTGGAAGGGACCTTGAGAGGTCATCAGGTTCAGTCCCCTGCACTAATGGCAGGAGTGAGCATCATCACTAGACTGTCCTAACAGGTACTCGGAGATTTTAAAAAGCAAGTTAGACAATGGTAGAGATTCCACAACCTCCTTAACCACCCTGACATTTGGAAGTTTTTCCTAATGTGCATCCTATACTTCCCTTGCTGTAGTTTAAACCTATTCATCAGAAGTTAAGGAGAATAATTTTTCTCCCTCCTCCTTGTATAACAACTATTTAGATATTTGAAGACTGTTATAATGTCCCTTTTCAATCTTCTCTTTTCCAGACTAAATAAAGTGTGTATATGGGGTGTGGTGGTGGTTTTTTTTTTTTTTTTTTTTTTTTTTTTTTTCCCTTCAATCTTGCCTCATAAGCCATGCTTTCTGGGCCTTTTAATCATTTTTGCTCTTCTATGGACTTTTTTTTCCCAATTTGCCCACATTTTTCTTGCCTTACCTTTCTTTTTCCTTGTAATTTAAATATAGTTGGGACCTTTAAAGAGCTCCATCCTGTTTTTCCTGTTGCCTAAACATTTATTGCATTCAGTTGCAGTGGGAAAATTAGACTTGATGTGTGTTGCCTTTGAAACTAATTGGCTCCTACGTATTTCTGCCTTGTCTGCTTCCTATGATTTAATACTTTAAGTGCCCCAATTTAGAATACAAAATCATGTCTTGCTTTTAGTTCAACATACAGGAAAAAAGTTATAGTTCATTTGTTGGCACTAAAATTTGTGTGTGTGAGACCCAATAAATCAGGAATTGGATTGCTAGTATGTTTAAACAAAACCGAAACCCAGTCTTTCATGGCAAATAATGCTATAATATAATATAATTTAAATTTCTAACTATCAATCAAATTTAACATTTTTACGTTTTCTATCCACTGTCCCAGGACAGGAGAACTTTTTTTTTTTTTTTTCTGAGGGATGGGAAGAACTGGGTGGAGATTAGACTGTCTAGAGAGAGACTGATGCTTGGGCTTTGGTTTTCTGTGACTAATGAAGGTTTGCTCCCACAAGATAATTTCTGACTTGACTTGAGATCAACAGCATTCCATTATGCCGATTTTAGTGTATTAAAACTGGTTACTGCATAACATACATTCTTCATTATTTTGATGAGATGAGAAACTGCTGAATTTAAACTTCATTTCCGCTAGAATATTTTCTCAAGATAAGTAAAACTGTACCTAATCAAAGGAGTATAATTTAGAAATTGTAGATATCTTCAATTGCTCTGAGTCTTAAACACTAAGAAGAATTAATTTATTTTATCAGTGTTTTTTTAATAATCCAGGCGGAATGTATCCAAACCCTGGAACTAGGAAAGTCATTTTTCTCTGTCATCACAGGAAATTTGATGTGGTTTTGTTCTTTAAAAGTTGTGGGCTAATCTGATTTGGTTCTGGTAGAATATTCAAAATATTCTCTTACACACTGTAATAAAAATACAATTAATAGAATACTAGAACTGGAAAGGACCTCAAGAGTTGTCATGTCTAGTCCCCTGCCCTCACAGCAGGGCCAAGTACTGTCTAGATCATCCCTGATAGATGTCTGTCTAACCAGCTCTCAAATATCTCCAATGATGGAGAATCTACAACGTCTCTAGGCAATTTATTCCAGTGTTTCACCACCCTGACAGTTAGGAAGTTTTTCCTAATGTAACTTAAACCTCCTTTTGCTGCAATTTGAGCCCATTGCTTCTTGTCCTATCCTCAGAGGCCAAGGAGAACAATTTTTCTCCCTTCTCCTTGTAACACCATTTTAGATACTTGAAAACCACTATAATGTCTCCTCCCAGTCATCTTTTCTAAACTAAACAAGCCCAATTCTTTCAGTAGTCTCTCGTGGGTTATGTTTTCTAGACCTTGAATCATTTTTGTTGCTCTTCTTTGGACCTTCTCCAGTTTCTCCACATCTTTCTTGAAATGTATTGTCCAGAACTGTACACAGTACTCCAACTAAGGCCTAATCAGTGCAGAATAGAGCAGATGAATGACTTCTCATGTTTTGCTCTCAACAGTCCTGTTAATGCATCCCAGAGTAATGTTTGCTTTTTTTGCATCAGTGTCATACTGTTGACTCATATTTAGCTTGTGTCCACTATGACCCCTAGATCCCTTTCTGCAGTACTCCTTCCTAGACAGTCACTTTCCATCCTTATGTGTAGAACTGATTGTTCCTTCCTAAGTGGAGTACTTTGTATGTGTCCTTATTGAACTTCATCTTATTTACCTCATACCATTTCTCCAGATCATTTTTAAATTTATGACCATATCCCCCAAAGCACTTGCAACACCCTCCTCCGCCCTCTCCCCCGCCTGAGCTTGGTACAATCTTCAAACCTAATAAGCACACATTAATCGGTGATGAAGATATTGAACTGTACTGGTCACAAAACTGACCCCCTGCGGAACTCCCTTCCAGCATGACTGTGGATCTCTGAGAATGGTTATCCAGTTATGCATCCATCTTGTAGTAGCCCCATCTAGGTTGTATTTTCCTAGTTTATTGATTAGGAAGGTAACGCGAGACATTATCAAATGTTTTACTAAAGTCTCGGGATAGCAAGTCCACTGTTTTCTTCCTTAACCATAAAAGTTATCATATCAAACAAAGCTATAAGATTAGTTTGGCATGGTTTGTTCTTTACAGATCCATGCTGGCTGTTACCTATCACCTTACTTTCTTTCAGATGTTTGCAGATGAATTTTTAATTCCTTGCTTCATTATCATCCCTGGCACAGAAGTTAAACTGACTGCTCTATAGTTTCCTGGGTTGTTCTTATTTCCATTTTTAATAGCTGGGCACTATATTTGCCTTTTTCCATCTTCTGGAATTTCTCCTGACTTCCATGACTTTTCAAAGATGATAGTTAAAAGGTTCAGATGCCTCCTGTATCAGCTCCTTGAACATTTGAGGGTGCATTTCATCAGGCATTTCATCTACGTTTTCTAAGCAATTTAAAAAAAAATTATTTTAACTTCTAAACGTTCCCCATTTCCACTAGCATTCACTATGTTAGGCATCCCGTTGTCATCGATCTTCTTTGAGGAAAACCAAAACGAAGTTATTAAGCACGTCTACCATTTCAAAATTTCCTGTTTCTCCCTCTTTATTGAGCAATAGGCCTACCCTGTTCTTGGTCTTCCTCTTGCTTCTAATTTATTTGTAGAATGTTATCTTGTTACCTTTTATGTATCTAGCTAGATTGAGCTCGTTTTGTGCCTTTGCTTTTCTAATCTTGCCCCTGCATACTTGCATTATATATTATATTAATCCTTTGCAATTTGATCTAATTTCCACGTTTTATACAACTACTTTTTGATTTTTAGGTCATGTAAGATCTCCTGGTTATGTCAAGATGGTCTCTTGCCATACTTTATCTTTCCTATGCAGTGGAATAGTTTTATTTTGGTCCCTTAATAATGTTATTTTGAAAAACTGCTAACTCTTTTTAGTTGTTTTCCCCCTTAGTCTTACTTCCTATGGGACCTTACCTACCAGCTCTGAGTTTACTAAAATCTGCCTTCCTGAAATCCATTGTCTCTATTTTGCTGTTCTCCCTTCTACCATTCCTTAGAATCATGAATTCTGATTTCATGTTCACTTTCACCCATGCTGCCTTCCACTTTCAGATATTCAGCCAGTTCCTCCGTATTTATTAAATTCAGATCTAAAACAACTTCCCTCTAGTAGCTTTTTCAAGCTTCTGAAATAAAAAAATTGTCTCCAATGCAGTCTAAGAACTTACTGGATAATCTTGCCCTGCTGTTAGTTTCCCAAAAGATATCTGGATAGTTGAAGTCCCCCATCACCACCAAATCCTGTGCTTTGGATTATTTTGTTAGTTTAAAAAAGCCTTCCTTATCCACCTCTTCTGCCTGAGTAGGTGGTCTGTTAGTATACCACTAGCATGCCATCACCCTTCCCTGGCTTGCCATCACCATTTTTTTAACATAACCCAGAGATTCAACAAGTCTTTCTCCTATGCTCATCTCAATCTCAATCCAAGTGTATCAATTGTTAATATATAAGGCAACACCACCTCCCTTTCCCCCCTGCCTATCCTTCCTGAGCAAGCTGTACTCTTCTATACCAATATTCCAGTCGTGTGTATTATCCCACCATGTCTCTGTGATGCCAACTATGTCATAGCTATGTTTATTTATTAGCACTTCAAGTTGTTCCTGCTTATTTCCCGTACTACTCGTGTTTGTATACAGGCATCTAAAATACTGATTTGATTTTGCCCCCGTTCTGCCTTGTCCCTCCTTCACTTCTGTTATAACCCATGCTCCCTCCCATTTCCGACCCATCTCTCAGGTCTCCATGTTTTTTACTTACCTGTGGGCTTTGCTCCGCTGTCCCTATCTAACCTAGTTAATCCTTCCTCACTAGATTAGCCAGTGTGAATCCAGATACTCTCTTCCCCTTCCTCAGAAGGTGAACCCCATCCCTGCTTAGTTCCAACAGTTGGTTAGAAGTGTTTTACAGAAATCATGTATACCTTAGATATGTAGTTATTGTATATTGTAGCCAAGCAAACCCATAAGATATGGTGAATCACTTGTTCTCAATGTGTGCACAACAATTATTCATACCAGAAAGGTATAGACAGTGGAGCCCTTATACAAGACATTGATGTTTCTTATCTTGCCAGATTTTCTTTTAAAAAAAGGTTGTTTCTAGTGTGAGAGAGAATGTCTCTGGTAACACTAGTTTGTATACATCTCTTTTTCTTGTGATGCAGGCAGCTATTGAAACTCTGGAACTTCAGGAGGAAACAAAAGAAGAATCTGATGAAGAGGAGGAGGAGGATGAAGAATCTGGACGACAGCGTTTCAAAACTGAACGAAAAGAAGGAACAATCATTAGGCTCTCAGACATAACAAGAGAGAGGAGAAACATTCCAGAAACTTTGGGTAAGATTCTGTGGGGATGGACTATAATAAATAATGACAATAAAAGAAAGGAAAGCATTTAATTATGTAAAACCCTATTCGCCAGTAAATGTTGTTCTTAAGTTAAAAGAATGTAGTTTGCCATAGATTCTGCTTGTCTATATCCAAGCTGTCCAGTCTTCTGTTGCTTCTTTTCCTAATAGTTTTAGTTGTCCTCCTCCTTCAGATAATCAGAAGAAGAATATGCTTTTTCAAAAGCCAATGCAATGTGTATTCTTTGAAGCTTTCTCTCCCTCTTACCACTTAGCCCCATCTTCTCATCAGGCTGTCCTTTTAACAAGGGTTCTGGAACAGTTTTTTTTATAGGGGATATTGTGAGCCATCGAGACAAACTGAAAATCCTATACATAATGGAAACCACTTCAAATCAGAGGGTGCTGCAGCACTCTTGGCATCCCTCATTTTAGCACCTATGCCTTTTAAACAGCAGCTGGCTATACACTGGGGAAATTCCCACTACTGTTTTAGTATTTCCAACTTATAAATAACCCCTGCAGATTTTCATGCTTGTGTTAAGGCTCACAATAATAGTAAATATCACACTGATTGAAAACAACTTGCCCTGGTACATTGGCACACAGGATATATCCAGCTGCAGTGAATGTTTGCTTGGCACGTGTTTCAGCATTGAAGTGGGAAAGCCATTATATGCTATTCCTAATAAGACTTTTTATTTATTAGCTAATAAACTGTTATGACATTATGTGCAATTTCAGTGGAAAAAGTGATAAATTGATTTTCGGCTTTCTCTTATTTGCCCAGTTTTAGTCCATCTGTCCAAATAGTCACAGTGAGGTATCTTGGAAAGGGGTTACTTTCACCAAGTCTTCCTATGTGGTAATACTGAATTATTTGATACTGTGATATTTAAAAAAAAAAAATCATTGCCCTGTTGAGAATCACTGAGGCTACTGTTTGTGTTGGATTTCAGATAATGCAGCACTTTTAGTATATATCTTGATGTATAATCAGTACCAGTATCTTGATGTAATCAGTACCAGCATTTGATGCTAGAAGTGCTTGGTACTACAGGGATTAGATGCTAATACACAATGATCTAGAATCAAGACTAGCCAGATTCAAAATATGGCTGTCGGTGAAGTATTTGCCTTTGTACAGTGATCACAGTTCTACTGCAGAAACTTAAGTATCAATTCAAACTGTGGAAAGAGATTTGGATGTCTTCCTGAAGAGTCAAAATATGAAGCAGCTAACTTGAGAGGGAATGGGAGGGGAGCTTATCAGATGCCATTAGTCTGCAAGGCCTTGAGTGCAGATGGTGCTGACATTGATGCTTGCAGATACTTATGGCGCCACCCATGAGGTATTAAAATTTTCTGTAAGATGTCTGGAATATTTTTTGGAAGACTGCAGAAGCTATATTCACAAGAGTAAAGGGCTCTTGTTTTTTTTTAACTCTGGTCCCTCTTCAGGTAAAGAAGGTAGCAAGGAAAGAGCCTCTCACTGGAAGTTAGTGTACATTAATTCAGTTATCAGGTTTTTTCTGCTTACCTTCAGAAGAAAGCCACTGTGTCCTAAACCTCCAGATTTTCCTGTAAGAGCATCTTTTATGGAGGGAGATTAAGGGCCTTTTTTCCTTCCATAACCACCAGTTTCCTAAACTCCATCAAGGCAAAATATCTTGCTTCAGAGAGACTCCTCCGAATTGCCGTTCTTGAGATTCCTCTGTAGTTCAACAGTACGAATCATAGAATACTAGAACTGGAAGGGACTTTGAGAGGTCGTCCAGTCCAATCCCCTGCACTCATAGCAGGATCAAGCATCCTGTAGATCATCCCTGAAGGAACGTCTAAACTACATGGCTCCATCGACGGAGCCATGTAGATTAGTGTACTCGAAAAAGGGAAATGAAGTGGCGATTATTTAAATCGCCGCTTCATTTCCCTATCTCTAGAAACCTCATCTACATGGCTCCGTCGATGGAGCAATGTAGTCTAGACATACCCTGATAGTCTATCTAACTGCTCTTAAATATCTCTAATGATTGAGATTCAGCAACCTCCCTAAACAAGTTTCTTCCAGTGCTTGACCACCCTGACAGGAAGTTTTTCCTAATGTTCAACACAAACCTCCCTTGCTGCAATTGAAGCCCATTGCTTCTTGTTCTATCAGCAGAGGTCAAGGAGAACAATTTTTCTTCCTCCTCCTAAATAACACCCTTTTAGGTACTCAAAAAAAAAAGAATAATGAAGAAAAATGGTGTAAGAAATTTGATTCTTCTTGACAATCAATGAGTTCAAGCTGTTGAGGGGAAGGAGGGGCGGGGAGAAAGGAAATAGTTTTTATTTCAGAAATGTATTCGCTCTGACGAATCCTGTCAACAAGAATTATGCTACAGATGTAGGTCTGATTGGCGCAGCAAAATTCATGGCATGTAATCCATGTCAAATGTATGAATGAGACAATCTCAGTGGACCCTGAGATCTTGGTAGTTTCAAATCAGAGAAGACTATTATTAAATCTGGCCAATGAATGAACTCATATTTTGTTCTCTATATAGAACAGGGATGGGCAATCATTTTTGGTGGGGGACACGCCAAGATTTTGGAAAGTGGTCAAGGGCTGCACTTCTCTGTCAAGGTGGTGCAGGGTCGTGGAAGGAGGCTGGGTACAGAAAGGCTTATGGAGTAAGAGACGGGGGTGCAGAAGATGGTGTGAGCTCTGAGAGGGAGTTTGGGTGAAGGAGGGGGGTTGTGACCTGCGTCAGAGGGTTGGTGCAGGGTCTGGGAGGGTGCAGGAGAGGATTCTGGCCTGGGGGAGCAGTGTAAGAGAGGGTACAGAGCCTGGGAGGTAGTTGTGACCTGGGGCAGGGGAGTGCAGAGGGTTTGGATAGCAACCTGAGGGAGGGATTCGTGTTGTGGGAGGGGCAGAGGTGCCAGAGGCAGGCTCTGGCTGGTAGATGCTTACCTAGCTTTTCCTGGCCAACACCTCCAAGGCAGGCTGGGCTCCCTGCCTGCTGCGGCCCCAGATCACGTAGAGCTGCAGGCTATTCCGTCCATGTGGCTTTCAGCTCTGGAAGGGGGAAGAGGCTTGTGCTGCCCCCATCTCCCAGGCCAAACTCTCAGTACCTATTGTTTGGTTGTTTCCAGCCAATAGGAGCTGAGAGATTGGCTGGGGTCAATTCCTATTGGTTGGCTGTTTCTGGCCAGTAGGAGCTGAGGATTGGGCTGGTGGTGGGGAGATCACACGAAGCCTCCCTCTCCTTCCGGAGCAGAGATCCACCAGACTGTGCTTTAAACCCATGGCAACTGTGTGCCTGAGGGTCTCAGCGGGTGATCCACGGGCCAGATCTGGCCCCAGGGGCAGTATTTTGCCCAGCCTTGATGAAGGCATACTGATGGGGATGAGAGGTGCTCTCTAGAAAGGCTTCACTCCAAAGCATTCTAATAATAATGCATAAGTAGTCTAGATATGAGGTGATCCTGAATGCACTAGCACCCTCATATGTATGTCTAGTCTACACACAAGTGTATCGCTGGCTTAACTGAAGTGATTTTTTTAAAATGAAATCTGTTGAACTATTGTAGACACTTGCATAAAATTTTGTAGCTGCTAGTATTAAGGGAAATGGTGGCTGTAAACAGACTGAAGTATATCCAAGTGGCTTTGTAATAACTGAATGCTTAAGAGATTAAAGGGGAACAGTGCTTTTATATTAGTCTATATCAAGTTTTGTGGGTGGTTTGAGACATGGTTCAGATTACAAAAAAAAAATAAAATGACTTACGAACTAAAATAAATAGCATTTGATTAGTTCTATGTTTGTATGTTTTGCCAGTTGCTTTTGTTAGAACAGTTTCTGTAAATGTGATTTGTTTAATTTTTGTTTCTGTTAATGAAAGGACATGCAATAATTGATGCTTTTTAGCTGTTAAACTAACAGCAATGCAAAATTTGTCATTTGCATATAAATACCAGCCCTGCTCCTGGGATTACTGTTAATAGATATTACTGATTTAAAAATGAAACTTTGTTGCATAGCTACATCTCTTTACTTTACAGTCTGGACATAGTTGAGAAAACACTTAAAGAGAAATTAACATTTCAGTTGAAGTTACAAACGTAATTTTCATCCTGTCACATTTTGGTGACCTTTAGTGACAGCTTGTCTCTATTGGAGGGAAGCATTCTTACTTGCTGATTAAAGATGTCATTTGAAACCATTTTATTACCAGGGTTAGTGAAATTAATCTTGACACTTAGAGCCACTAGAAAAATAATTGCTGATTCACTGCATTAACTGTGTATGCGTATGAGAGAGAATTGTGAAGTTAAGATTTGAATTTGTCTGTTGGGAAAATAAATATATAAAATGTAAAAATTATTCTCTCATGAATGGTGTTGAAACTTCATAAATGTGTGTGGGGTTTTTAACAAAGAAAATATAATTGGTGGTTTTGAAAAGATGTTAGGGAGACATGTTCTGGGAAGGATATAAAACAAGCTTCTGAGAGTGCTCATTTCATCCTCTGAGAGAAATATTAAATAAAGCTTTTTTATGTACTCAGTGTTGACCATGTAATATTATTGGCTGGCTATATAGAGCTTACATTGTGTATGCATGTATGCAACAAACTTCAAGGAAAGAGGAGGAATTACCTCTTTTGGGCTGGTACAATCGAAAGCCAGCAGCGTTCTTAAAAACAGCTCTTCTCCATTTTCCTGCTTTTCCCAGCAACTCCTCCCTCTATTTCTGATTTACAAAAAAAAAAAAAAAAATGACTTCCATGCTATGGAAAGCCATACACAAAGCAGCTGGAACTGCAGTATTGCTGTATAGTGATGCTGATATCAGCAATAATATGTACAATGTAATCCATTTATGCTTGGTATAACATCTAACTTTTGAACAAAGGGAGTTTTTGGTCTGAAATAAAATATTTCATTAAATTTATTGCACTTTCATACACATGTGGAAACATACAATGCAGTAATGATGCAAGTCTGAGTGCTCCAATCAGGAAGCACACAAAATATCATGATTCAGACTTTGAGTCTACACATAGATCACATAAATGTACAGACACTATACTCCTGTGTGGAGTCTTAGGCCAGGTCAACATTCCAGACACCTATCGGTATAACTACATCACTCAGAAATATGAGTAATCCACACGCCTGAGCAACATAAATACTAAACTCCCCTTCTCCTCCATAAATAGCACATTGTCAATTGGAGACCTTTTGCCACTGACATAGCTACTGCCTATAACTATGCTCACAGGAGAAGCTTTCCCATCAGCATAGTAGCGTTTTCACCAAAGCAGTACAATGGCACAGCTGCAAGGGGCCTTTACTGACTGCAGTGGAGTACTATGCAGATGCATGTTTGCAGGGCTAAGGGATAAAGTTGGAACCTCCAAGTTGATTTTTGTTCTTTTAGGGCAAAGAATTAAAACACTTTATCTCTTTTGATTTCTAAGTGCTTTCACAGTCCTACAATGAAATATTTGTTAATTTTTTTTAAACTGCAATAAAACAAAATCATATCCAAATAATCACTATCTTCATAGTAGTGCTGCTGTAGTTTTGCCACAGAGCAGTATCCAGTCTAACCCTGTTGTTACATTCATAATTTTAAGGAACTGTATTTGTTAGCTGAAAAATTGAGCATGTCATCTGTGTTTGTCCGCTGCTAGATATAGTTCATAGAATGGGAAGAATAGCTGTGAGTACACAGTTGTAGGCACCTCTCCTTTTCCCCCAATTTACCGCATTTTTGGGGACCAACACAACTGAAATTTGTACCTTGAAACATTATATACGGGCATCAGCCTGCATACACAAGAAGAAAAATGAGACACAAGTGCTAGATCAGAACTCCATTATCTTTATCTACAAACTACAAGACAATAAATTGTCCAGTGCAGTTTGTCCTTCTTTTCATAATCTATTCCATCTGGCGAAGGGCTGCAGTCATCTCTCCAAGCCTTTAAAGCTGCTCCTAGCAAGCCTCTCTTTGTATGAGATCTAAGTGGCTAGGGAAAAAAGTACCTATAAATATTTTTAAAGTAACTGGTGAGATCTTTTAGTAGCATATTGAGATTTTAACAAAGTTGAAGTCTTTCCCCCTTTTTAAAACGACCTTGCACATTCTCCTTGATTGGCACAGGGCTGTTGTCCTCCCAAAGCCAGGTGCTGGATGGGAAGAGGAATTACTGCTTAGTACAGGCAGTCCCCGGGTTATGTACAAGATAGGGACTGTAGGTTTGTTCTTAAGTTGAGTCTGTATGTAAGTCGGAACTGGCGTCCAGATTCAGCCGCTGCTGAAACTGATCAGTTTCAACAGTGCATTCTCCTTGATTGGCACAGGGCTGTTGTCCTCCCAAAGCCAGGTGCTGGATGGGAAGAGGAATTACTGCTTAGTACAGGCAGTCCCCGGGTTATGTACAAGATAGGGACTGTAGGTTTGTTCTTAAGTTGAGTCTGTATGTAAGTCGGAACTGGCGTCCAGATTCAGCCGCTGCTGAAACTGATCAGTTTCAACAGTGGC